ATCGGATACATATCTGATGTTTTTTAAAGCGACCTCTCTCTAAACGGTCATGTCGCATTTCATCCGACTTTTTCAAGTCACTGCAATTTCATTGTCGTATTATATGGAACATAATGAAACCGTACATCTGTGTGTCTTGTGTGTTAGACCTTCGCCAGGAGCTGGCTGTACGTCAGAAGGAAAGACGGCCATCCAGCAGCCTGGGCAAAGACATAGATCGAGCAGATCTGCCGTGCCCATCAGCTGGGAACCCATCCATCCCCGTCACACCCTCCAAACCTCTCAGCTCATTTGCCACGCCCCCTGCTTCCAGTATCCGAAGAGGTAAATAGAAACACTCGGACTGCAGTAATAACTAGTGATGGTTAATGTACCACTTTCGTATAAACAGACTGTGTGTTTATTGACTCATATGTGTTTTGTTTTAGGTGATGGTCTCACAGGGACTCCCCTCACCACGTCAGCTAGAATATCTGCACTCAATATTGTCGGGGAGTTGCTGAGAAAAGTTGGAGTAAGAGATTTAAAAATGACACCAACCCAGTGAATGCATGCTTTTACAGATAACCGTGTTGTCACAGGACAGTCTCACTACATGTTTGGCCTTTCTGTGTATGAGCTGACGAATTTTCTGATATCCCTGCCAGAATCTGGAGTCAAAGTTGGCGTCCTGTCGAGACTTTGTCTACGACACATCTGTCAGCAGACCAGCACTTCCGGCTGGTCCTAGTAGTCCTTCTGGTTTAGAAAGAGGCTCTGAGATCCAAGCTACCAGCATGAGCCCCCCTCCTCAGTACGACAGGTGAGGAAAACAACAGTGGCACAGTCTAAGGTGTAACAACTGGAAAAACTCTTGTTCTTGTGGTTCTATCAATCAGTTATCTTACTTGTACTAAACACGGCAAGCTTATTTTTGATCATAAGCTACTGTTGTAAGGTATAATCAAGCTCTTTTATGCAGGTTTAGTCATTTAGGTGTCCACTGTGGTTAATTTATTCCAGTTTCAGGATTTGTGAAGTTGCTGTGTTTTTAAAGGCACATTTCACAAACCCTGGGTCTGTACTTGTTTTGCTGGGGTTTCCTAACAGATGTGGTGAGTGTAAAGGTATGAAAATCCTTGAATGCAATTATGAAAATAAGAACCAGGTTGAAAAATACATAGGTAAAGCATGCGTACAGTAACGTGCGGGTACACAGTTTAACAAAATGTTTATTTTTCACCCCTTGAGCATCCAGTATGCAACATAAACTGCACTGCTGTTGAGTTCATGATGTAAACCACGAAATCAGTTTATTAATATATGCCATAATATTAAACCTGTGAAAATGGGCTGCTCAGTCGTTGTCCTTATTTTCATACACAGCAAGATTTTTACAGGATTATTTTAATCATTTTATTTTAACGTCCATAAAGCCAGCAAATACAGGGAATGATACATATTTAATCTCAGGTTTGCTCATGTGTGTATGTGCTGCATTTTGTCTTGCAGTTTAGTGAAGCGGTTAGAGTTCGGACCAGCTCCTCCGAGAGGAGTCTCCCAGGGTGCCCAGTCTCCGCAGGGAGGTGTCAAGATTCTGCTATGAGAGGATAAAGGAGGCGAACAACCCCCCCTCCTTCAATAATCTGACACCAACCCGTCCTCTCCCTCCTTAATAAACTACAGCAATGGGACCTTGAACTGAGCAGTCTTCCCTTGTCGTCCTGTGCCCTGCTGAACTATTTGAACAAGAAAGCCGCTCTCCCAGCTCCATGCCCTACATACTCAGCGCATGGACTTCTGCCGCCTCGGGCTAACATCACTCCATATCTGTCGTAGGACCGAGCACTACAGCTCTGTAAAAGAAGCTACAATGTATCTTCTACTGTGACGCTGTGGTGTGTAGCATCTAAAAAATCCTCCTGTGTTACTGATTAGCTTTTTGTGGAGGATCGGGTATAACGGGGCTGTTGAAGCATTACTGCAGCCAGAGAACAGATTTAGGCTGGTTGCTGCACTTGCCCATTGATCATTACATGAAGTGAATAACTGAACCAGTTATAGGTAGGGACCAAGAACTTGGAGTGTCATTTATAAAAAGGTTGGATCATACAAATATTGTCCAGAACTTTAAAGCTTTATCAATGAAAAACTGACCAAACAAAAAAGTAATGGGATAGATTTTTATTTTATTTTACATGGAATCTGATGTGAAAACTTTAAAGTCTGTTTTTGTTTTTTATTCTTTGAACTGTGGGCTCAAATAACGTAGCACTGAACAACACCGGCATATGCGAACATCTGTTGTGGAGGAGCTAGATATCGTTGGTTTAAAAGATAGTTTAAATATTTTGAGAATGAATTAGTCGCAGCCAGGAACTCATGTTAGTATTTTAGCCATCGCTGCCTTCATCAATGTTATTACCTGTTGAGTTTGTAGTTCTTTGCTGTATTTGATAAAACAAGTGAAATAGTTTATTTATTCCCCGTGCTGCCAGGCTTCTACCATTCAGATGATATCACTTTTCCTCAAGCTAGTTTAATATGACATGCCATTCAGTTTGACCCAGGTCCTTCCTGCCATTGCGCAGACTAATTTCTTCCTGGTATGCAAGGTTTATGAATGTGAAGTTTAGGATTATGTTTTGCTTCAGATAATAAGATGTTCATTTGTTGTGCCACAGATTTATGATCTAAGGTTATCAATAACATTTATTCTGAATTTAGCTGACTGTAGAAGTTAGATGGGCACATGTTCACTTCTGAATGTACAGTAATAATTCCCTAATAGGTGTGAGACCTCCTGTCGGCCATCAAGGGTTATATGGTGGGCGAATGGGGGGGGGAAAGTACCAAGCAATAATAGATTTTAACAGATCAAAGATAAGCACAGTTCATAGTATATTTGTGTAGGTATATAGAGCCTATATTGAATTCCCTTTTCCTGCCTTTTAAAGAGAGATATTGTAAATGGGGGAAATGGAGTGATAAACAATATTTGTGACGTCTGTACTTTTCCCTAAAATGTTTCTGGTCAATCTTGAGTTGTCACTACTGCCATCCAGCAGCTCATTAAGCAAATATTACCGTACATATCTAAATATCACGTTTATACAGCCGTCGTCGCTGCAGTGTAGCCTGTGTGTAGGAATGAACTCGTGGTTTATGCATATCAGAACTGGATGTCTTTTCTTTCTTCTCGGCTGTCTAACCTTCCTTCAACTAACACAAGCTGACTAACTGTAATCCACAACCACTGTGTACTGGGTGTTTGTATGCAGCAACTGCTTCTGTATTTGGACTTTAAACTGTATGTGCCTGAGGTACTATACCCAACTTTGGTCCTATTGGTTTGCAGTTTTTAATTGAACTGAACAGATGAGAATAACGTTCTGTTGTGATGATCCAGTTTGATCTTTGAAGTTACTGACCAAGACAGAAACATTAAAAGGAGAAAATCAAAGTTTTTTGCTTTTATTTTTTTAAAGATCTTTATTTCTTGTGCAGGTGGTTCAACAATTAATAGATACGATTGGTGTCATGTAAACATCAGTTGATTACATATAATAATAATATGATCAAATGAGAATGAGTTAGTTTAGGATGATCAGGGGCTATTTGAACATGTACAGGAAATCCAGCCAAAAATTGTGTTGCTAGGTGCCCAATACTGAAGTCTGGCTCGAGACTTAATTGCTGGGGTTACCCTGAACCATGTCGGACCTAAAACATTGACATTACTTGGTAAAAGTAATCTAAACACATCTGGGCACAAAAAGGTGCAAATAATATAAAACGGTGACTTTAGAAAATGTTTAACAGCTAAATATTTGTTTGTTGGGGTACAAACAGCAGCACTGACTGGATGCAGACTGAGTATATCCAATCTGTCAGACCAACTTCAGTGCTGCTCTGAAACACTAACAGCAGTCACAGGCAACAGGACGACAGTCGCTGATAATAGTTACAGATCCATAGATTTACATGATGTCTCTGCTTAAAGTTCAAAGGTGACTTATTGTGGAGACCCGAGGCTTTACTTGCAGGATAGCGTGGTAATTAGAGGCGCCTATTCTTGTGTACAAAACCTGGCGTAATTCAGTGCCGTACAAAACAGTGTCAATTTAAAAAATGAAATAAAAGGAACAACAAATCACACAGCAGAGCCACCAAAACAACTCCCCTAGCTGATATCAAGTCCTTCTGATCATTGTGTGCCAAGAAAAGGTGCTCTGAGACAAGAAGATAGATCAGTACACTATTGGAAATGGGAGGCAATATATATTGAAGTGATGTGGAAGAACTAGATAGCGTAACAGGCTTTGAAGTTATTCTCCGTTGAAGTGGCAGACCTTGCCCTGGTAGGTAATTCTGATGTCTGGTTATTTGACGCCCCTTACTCCACAGACTTGGTTCCATTGAAGTCGCTTTGGGAGTCGGCCTCCTCCTCTGAGGCATCCTCGACCACCCTTCGGCCTCCGCCCATACGCCGAGGTGTGCTGCCAAAGGAGGGCTCATTTCCACGCCTAGAATGCCACAGAGATGCACACAAGACAGAGATACAAACACAGAAACATATTCCCAGAGTGAGAGGAGCGGTTATGTGACACATAGTCCGAGCTTGTCAGGGTTTGTTTGAAAACCACTCGGGGTGTTGATGAAATACAGAATGTACAGGTTGTGCTTTGGTTACAGGGTAAGCACGCTGGTTATCTTTTGTAACTCATTTGACTCCTGGCTCAGGAAAATGAGTTTGGTTTATGGCAGTTAAACCAAGCACTGAGAAAAATATGGCCACCAGTTAGATATAGTTGTAATGGAAGGGTGACTCAAATATTTCTGTTGTTTCTAAGGAAATTGTGGTAGTGGATGAGCCATATTTCTCTCAGTTACGCTCAATGAAAGAAATGATAGCATTAGGAGTGTGCACGGGGGAATGAAAAGTTATGGTAAGTTAATAAGAAAGGATGATGGGGTAACTTTTAGGTGCAGAGGTACCTGCTGTGTTACTCCTTGGGTTCAGGGTTGCCTCTGGAATAGAGATGGACACGATTGTTTTGCTTGTGCTCAGTAAGGCTACCGTGCTAAACCCTACTACATTTGTAAAGCTTTAAATGTGTTTACAACCCTTTTAAGGTGAGTGTAGAGACCATGTGCTCTTCAGCACTCAAATGTAGGTGACCTGGGAACATTTAACACTATTTGAGTTGATTTATTTGGTTTATTTGAGAAAATATGCTCAATACGAATATTTTACGCATACACAGACATCCTCCAGGTAGTGACTATTTACCATTCCGCTCTACCTGGCCAAGAAGAAAGATAGACAGTCTCTTTGGCACCTCGTCCTACCTGAGTTTGCTCTTGAGAGAGTTGACCTCGCGGCTCATGGCATCGTTGGCTTCAGTGGCTTCATCCAGCTCCCGCTGCAGCTTCCTGCGGGCGGCTGTAGCACGCTGAGACTCCTCCTCCGACTCCTCCAGCTGTCGCTTCAGCTGCTTCATGCGGGTATTTGCCTTTTCCGCCTGGTGTGCGAATGGAGCACGTAAGCAAAATTACTATTTTACTCCCATCTAACCATCCACTCCCAAATACAGACACATTTGTCTGTAAACACAAAGAAAATGCACAGACTGTCTGTGTTTGAGCATGAGTGCATTGAGTGATCGTACCTGGTCTTTGTACTGCTCTCCCTGTTTCCTTTCGTCTTCCACCTGCATTATCAGGTCCTTGAGCTTCTTGTCCTTCTGGCGTATACTCTTGGCAGATGCCTGCTTCTCCCTGAGAAACGGAAAAAAAGAGTTCAGGGAGGAATACAAAGTGTAACTGATGTTAACAGCGTTCTTGGGTGAAAAATGGAAACCAAACCTATAATATTGGAACTGGAAACCACTGTTTATGAATGTAATGACAAAAAAACTATTTCATTAAACATAATCTGTGACTCTGTCCCTGACCTGCTCTCCTGCTCCAGCTGCTCCTCCAGCTGTGCCACTTTAGCCTCCAAGGCGGAGATGGAAGACTTGAACTTGGACTTGACCTGGTTCTCCATCTCCTGCAGCTTGGCCTTCAGGTCCTTGTTCTGGCGCTCCATCTGCTGCCTGGCGCTCTCGTTCTTCTGGGAGGTGATGCGCTCTGTCTGCAGCTCGTTGGTCAGCTGATCCACCTGTGGACGGGAATGCATGCAAAGAGAGGGGTGAGGCTTCTGCACTTCTTTGAGCCCTTTAATGGGTCAGGAAGCTGCTACTATCGGGTCACCTGCTGTGTGCTCTTCCTCAGCCTGTCGTTGAGGATCTCCATGTTGCTCTGCTCTTCCTCCAGCTCCTCCTCTAGCTGTGAGATCTTAGCTTCCAGACGACGTTTCTCATCTGCCAAGGCTGACCTGCACGCACAGAGCACAGCAGAAAACAGATGTAACCATCACTTGTCTTCTGCGCCCATTTTGCAGACAAAAATGACAGAATGAAATTCTCCACCCACTTCCCAGAGGAGTTGCTGGCCAGCTCATCGGACAGTTCATCTCTCTCGGCCTCTGCCTGCTTCCGTGCCCTCTCAGCAGCTGCCAGGTCCTAGAAACATATTAGAAGTGAATCCTTTATTTCAAACCTCTGCTCTTAAACAAGTTTCCGCCTTGTGAGGAATCAAATGTGTTACCTCCTGTAGCTGCATGAGCTCAGCCTCCAGACTCTTGGCCTTCTTCTCACTCTCCTTTGCGGTAGCCAACACCTCCTCTCTGGCAGCGCGGGCGTCTTCGAGCTCCCTCTGGAAGTCCTTCATCTGGCCCTGGTGGGATGAAGAAAAACAGAGGCAGCAATAGAGAGGGCGATGAGACAATCAGAGCCAGGATGTGAATTATTATTATACCAGGTATGTTATTAGTTACAGTTCTTAGGCCAGAGCTTTGACCCGATTGTTGATGCAGTGCTGTGAACATCACATGAACGCACTTCTCAAAGTCATACTGTACTGTCTTCGTAGTGGTAGTGGTATTAATTGCATGTGAAAAAATGTTAATCTTTCATCAGTTTCCCATAGTTACCCAATATATAACACCTGTTTAGTAGGACGATAGTACTATAAATGCTTTATTTACAAGCTTGCAACTCACAAGAAATTAAAAAAACAAACATGTACATCTAAAATGAAAAAAGTGTTTAGAAATAATTGTCCTCTCACCTGGAGCTTGCGTAGCTGTTTGATGGCCTCATCTCGTCCCTTACTGGCCGTCTCGATCTGTCCCTCCAGATCTTTCATGTCTGTCTCCAACTTCTTCTTGGCTGCTGTTGCCAGGGCTCTCTGCTTACGTTCATCCTCCAACTCCGTCTCCAGCTCACGAACCTGCAGTCAATATGTATCATTGCTTGGAATACCGATACAGCTGGTGTGACATGCTCTGATGGTGGCTCAGATCATGTTTTCATTTGGAGGACGAGATATTGTATGCCTCTTTACCTGTTTGATAAGCTGTCTCTTCTTCTCCTCTCCCATCTCATCTCGTCCCTGGAGGTCCCTCTCAAACTGGGCCTTCAGGGCCTGCATGTTGACCTCCAGACGCAGCTTGGCATCCTCAGCCGCCTGCAGCTCGTCCTCTAGCTCCTCCAGCTGGGTCTTCATCTCTTCCACCTGGGCTTCCAGGCCTCTCTTGGACTTCTCCAGCTCGTGGACCTGCCATCAATATATTGCCAAATCAACTGCTATATTTTGGTATAAATAGCACAAAGAAATGAGACTAGTCAAACCAAACTTCCAACCAAAATATCAACTGGTCAGTCTCCCACACTAAGTGATGTTTTGAATGAAGTGATGTTCCAGCACTAACATTTTTTCCCACATCGTCCTTGGAGCTGATAATGTCTTCCATCTCCATCCTCAGGGCCTTGTTGGCTCTCTCCAGCTCCTCTCTGGAGTCCTGGGCCTCCTCCAGAGCTCTCGCCAGGGACAGAGCCTTGGTCTCCTTCTCTCTGGCCTCGGCTTCAGCACGGTCTCTCTCATCGGCGTATTTACTGGAGATACTCTTCTCCTCGGCCAGCATCTGGAGACCAGAGAGGACAGAAAACCATGAGCTAACAGTAATTATAGTAATTTTAAAGTTTTAATGTGTAATTAATTAGTCTTTCTTTTTTAAAATGTTGTATAGAGAGTGAATAGTAGTGGAAAATGCTCTACCAATGTATTATTATAGCAGTTATCTCTTAGTGTTACCAGTTTTTTTATTTAACTGACCTGATCAAACTTCTTCTGCTTCTTCTCCAGGTTCGACACATTCTGTCTCTGGTTGTCCAGGTCCATCAGCGTGTCCTCGAGCTCCTGCTGCAGACGGTTTTTGGTCTTCTCCAGCTTATCATATGCAGAGGCCTTCTCCTCAAACTGGGTGTTTGCTGCCTCTAAATCTCTCTGCAGACGTTTCTTGCCTTCTTCCAGCAGCTCGATGTTTCCTGTCATTTCCTCTAGCTTCTTC